AGGGGCAGGCCCGCCGACGCCCTGGGGCAGGGTGCTGGGCAGTGCTTCCACCACGAACCGGCCCGCTGTGGTTGCTTCCTGAATTGCCCTGGAGACAAGGAAAAGGCCGTTCACACCTTTGGCCAGATGCCCGATGGCCTTCCTGGGCAGTTCAGCTTCAGCAGGGCCTGGTTCCCGTCTGAAGGGGCTGCATTGATCTGTGTGGTGGTCCTGGCACCCTCCTGGCCCATGCGGGTATGGGGCCTTTGCTGCCCCCCTGAGCCCCAGCAGGCTGCCCCTCTCAGGAGCTGGGGGGAGAGGGGCTGGAGGCTGGGAAACTGAGCGCCTGCGCTCCACGTCCAACCAGCCTCTGTTGTCGGTTTGGAAAAGTCATTTCCAAACCTCCCGGCGCCTTAGGCCCCTCCGTGTGCTGATCCAGCGTCCTGGTCTTGCAGCGGCCCGCGGGGGTGGAGGAGGCAGGCCGCTGCAGGGGCCTGGCCTGGTGTGAGCGCAGTGGGCTGAGCCTGTTGCCTTATATGACAGTAGCTGGGAAGGTTCCAGGGCCTTCTGCGTCCTCCTTTGTCCGCCTGTTTTGAGTTCCCGGGAGGCCTCCCGGGTGGGGTCAACCTCCGCCCAGCCGCAGGCCTCGCCCCACTCCCATCCCCCTCTCCACCCCCCACCCCTGCTTGCGCCCTGCGCAGTCTGGGTGGTGTTTGGGCTGAGTCTTGGCTTTCCCTTCTCTGTCCAGTAACTTCTCAGTGTAAAATTGAAAACTGGTCCCGTCTCCCTGTCTGTGTGTCCCAGTGGGAGCTGAGAGGGCAGGGGACTGGCTTAGAAGGCAGAACAGGGCCGTGGGGATGAAAGGCAGTGGGCAAGCAGGGAACGCCACCCTCTGATGCGGGTTTCTTTCATCCATTCGCCCACTCGGTGCTCTTTCTAGTGCTTTTCTCTTTATTTTTCACCCCCAATCAGCCTCTTCCCTCCTGGAACCAGCCCTGGCTCTGCCTGCACCCCCATCCAGGGTAGGCCCCTCCCCTCCCGCTGTGGGCAAGAGCGCTCCCGAAGGTTCGGGTTTGGGTTAATGAAGCCCAGATGCTGGACTTCTGATTCCCGCTTCAAGTTCGCCTCTCAGCAGCGGCTGGAGGGGCTGGAGGGTCCGTCTGCCTCGCACTGTGCTCTGGCCCAGCTGCTGCCGGGCCGGGCTTGAGGGGAACGGCTGGAGAGCAGCTTCTGGCCGACAGTGCGGGATGGTGGGCGGAGCCCAGGGAGAGACGGGGTGGAGCTCCGGGTGTGGGGCGGGGCCCTTCCTGCCTTCACCCCATCGGAGGCTGGTGTGGGGCGCGCTGGAAGAGGGGCTTCTGCTTTCTGTCTCTTGGCGGAGTCCATGTGGGATTACCTCTCCCCAGGACTCAGGTGGTCGGTGGGAACACTGGGGCGCTCTGCAGAGGGAACCGGGGTCAGAGAGGGCCCCGCGCTGCCTAATGGCAGCCCTTCCCAGTCCAGGATGGTTGATCCCTCTCAGGGAGACCAGATACAACACAAAGATCACATGGGAGGAACTTATGCTAAGGAATTACTCCTTGTCTGTGGGATATTATTATTCCTTATCTATAAGAAATTCAAATTTAACTGGGCATCCTATATCATCCTGTAACTCCGGAAAATAGTGAGGGACAGGGAGGCCGGCTTGCTGCCAGTCCATGAGGTCACAGAGTTGGACACCACTTAGCGACTGAAGGACCACCATCACCTATGTTTTTATTGGCTAAATTGGGCAATCCTTACCCCCACCCCCACCCATCTGAACTTCTATAAGTAATCGTTTTGTTGAATTGCAGCATACAAACAGAACACCAACTGTAAGTGTGTGCTCAGCGAGTTTTCACAGGTCCAGCACATGCAGCACCCAGAACGAAAGGAGGAGATTCCCTGGTGGTCCAGTGGTTAGGGCTCGTCACTTTTCAATCCTGGGCACAGGTTCAATCCCTGGTCGGGGTACTAAGATCCTGCAAGCCATGTGGTGTGACCAGAAAAAAAAACCCAAAAACGAACAGAACCTGCCCCCCGCCAAGGAGAGCAGGACCCCCGTTTTTGCCCTTAATCACACAGGTGTAGTCTTCTGTGATGGCTCCTCCCGCACAGCGCCGTGAGGTCACCATGCTGCTGGGCGGAGTCCCGGCTCGTCCACCGTCGCCAAGCACTGCAGATGCAGTCCAGTCATCTGTCCGTTCGTGGGCCGACATTGCACGTCTGCCTCTCTGTTTTTTCCTACACCGCATCTCTGTGCCAGGGAGGAGGACTGCTGGGTTGTGGGTGGGCACATGCACCTCTTCAGCTTGAGCAGGTCTCACCCAGCAGGTGACTGAGGTGGGCGTATGCATTTACATCCCCACCAACTGTATGGGAGCATCCCGCTCTTTCTCACGTCTGCCCTTCTGGTGTGGGGCACTGCTGCCTGATGCTGGTTTTTGTTTGTTTTAAATCAAGAGCTTCTTGCATTGTTGATTCCTCTGATTTTCTTGACTAAGAATATAAACAAGGTGCCTGCTTCAGGTACCACCTGCTCAGCCTGATGGGAAGCTGGAGGAGGCCATTCCCACCTCCGTTCCCCACCACCCAGGAGCTCCCCACCCCCACCACGTGAAGCAAGGGTGGGCGCAAGCCCTGGAGGAGTTGCACAGGTGCCTCCGGCCCCGCTGAGGGGGAGCCAGGCTCAGTCCTGCCTCCCCCAAGTACTTTAGGGAAATGTCATTTCCGAGGGCTGCCTGCAGCTTGCCGTCCCCATGTGCCACCCTTCTGTTCCTTGTGGGGTCCTTCCAGGATAGGGGTGGGGGTGCCCGTGGGGTCCCTCCAGCAGTGTTGCTACTCGAGGGAATGTCTCCTCTATGGAGCTGGTTCTGACCCAAGTGTTTCCACCATGGTCCTTTGGTTTCCTCCGGCTCTAGGACCTCACCTTTGCTTCCCCTGGAATTAGAGACTGTGGCCACATCAGAATCCATGTCAGGGGCTGACCTCTGCTGCCCGTGGGGGCCACAAGTGTGTGGAAGTGTGAGGAAGATGGAACCCCCCATCCCTCCTCCCATCGCCCCCTCCAGCCTCTCCTGGCCACTGCCACCCCTAGTCCCATCCTCTGGTCTCTACTCCCCTCTTCCAACCCTTTACTCACCCCAGCCCTCAGGGACCCATGAAAGCCAGAGCCCGCCTAAGTCAAAGATCTCTCTTGGTAAATGTCACATTGCACTTGAAAATATGTGGGTTATTTTCACATATTTTTCGATACTGATTTCTAATGTAATTCCACTGATAACAGACTCTATGATTTTAATACCTTTAGACCATGAAAATTTTGCACCTTGTTTTATGTCCCTGGATATGTTCCAGTATCTCCTAGTTAATAGTCTATGGAAACTTGAATAGAATTTGTATCCTACTTGTGTGAAAATTATGTAAATCTTAATTCTATTGAATTGGTTCGTGGTGTTTTCAGGTCTACTGTATCCCTCTACTTTTCTGTATATCCCTTCTATTAATTTTTGAGAATTTGATATTGAAACTCCAATTAAAAATCTTAATCTACCTGAAAATAATTGTAATAACAGTGGTGGTGGTGGTGGTTTAGTCACCAAGTCGTGTCCAACTCTCTGCGACCCCATAGACTGTAGCCCGCCAGGCTCCTCTGTGGAATTCCCCAGTCAAGAATACTGGAGTGTGTTGCCATTTTCTTCTCCCGGGGATCTTCTAGGCATCAAACCCTGGTCACCTGTGTTGCAGGTGGATTCTTTACTACTGAACTACCAGGGAAGCCCCAATATAGTGTGGCTGCTGCTGCTGCTAAGTCGCTTCAGTCGTGTCCAACTCTGTGCGACCTTATAGACGGCAGCCCACCAGGCTCCTCTGTCCACAGGATTCTCTAGGCAAGAAGACTAGAGTGGCTTGCCATTTCCTTTACCAAATATATCATGGAGCTATATGTAACTTTCTTCTGTATTTTCCAAGTCTCCTGTAAATGTGTTATCATATTTTAATAGTTTAAAAAATAAAATAGAAAGAGAAAAAAATCAGAGCCATAAACATTAGCGCCTGAAATCCCCATCATAAGGCTCTACTCCAGAAGAGAGCCGGTACCCGCCCCACCCTGAGGAATTCAGTCAGGACTGGCGCTAGACTGAGAAGCACAGCTCAGACTTGCTGCAGAAGCAAAGAGGGCTTTATTGGCTGAGCTACCCAGCCCACTGACTGCATGGGTCTGGGGGTTGGGGGCTTCAGGCAGGGAGGGCTCTGTCTCTACTTGCTTCATCCTCCAGCCTCCCCGACTGCTGCCCCAGCCCCACCGAGAGGCAGGGTGGCCGCCAGTGACTGTAGGCGCCCCTCCCAGCAGATTAGTGGCCCTGCTGGAAGAGAACGCACTCTCCTGGTCCCAGCCGAGACCCCAAGGGCCCCTCACAGTGGCTTGAGCTCGGGGGCTGATGGGCCAGGCTCGGCTCATGTGCCCGCCTGGGAACCCGAATCTGGGCTGAGGGTGGAAGTGAAGGGACTCTCCAAAGAAAAGTCACTGAATACTGAGTGGGAAGAAAACAACAAAATGTGGCCTCACCAGCCCCGGTCACCCACCTCCTACCACCTTCCAGGGCTGAAAGATCTTAACGCTGCAAAGGAAAAAAAGACAATGGTCTGTACAGAAGTGGATGCACGGTATCTCTGTGTAGCACAGACCTATATAGAAAAAAAACTAAGAAGAAAAGCACCACTATGCTAGCCTCTGAAATCACCGCCTTTTTCTTCATTAATTATTCTCTTTTGCTTATTTTTAAGCTTTCCCATCTGGCATGTTTTTTATGACTTCTAAAATATATCATAAATGCTGGAAACCAAAGGAGAAAGCTGAAATTCCCCAGACAGAGGGGCTCTTCCCTGCTCACCTTTCCATGCGTGTCCTACACTTCCCTGCCCACCTCCAGACCTGAACCCCCACCCCACCGCAGGGTGCACCCCCTCAGCCTCTCTTGCCCCTTCTCCCACAGGCAGCTTCGAGGCCAGCTCAGCCTTCTGGTCATGGCGCGGCTGCTGAACCAGCAAGAGAGACTCCCTCTCTGGCAGAAGAAGGCCCAGGTAAGTGTTTGCCTCAAGCATCTTCTGGGGGTTGGGGGAACCTGACCAGCCCCTCCTGCCATTTTTCCTGAAGGTTGGGAGCCTCAGGTCAGGGGAGTTCAAGGTGGGTTTGCATTTTTTGCTCACATCCTTGCATCTAACAGTCACTTTCTGCACGCCTACTCTGTGCCAGCCACTGAGGATAAAGCAGTGAGCTAGGAGCAGGTGTTGCTTTTTTTTAAAGCTGTGGTAAAATATACATAACATAAGATTTACTATTTTAACTTTCTTTTTTTTTTTTTACTACCTTAACAATTTGTGTGTGTGTTAGTTACTCAGTCGTATCCAGCTCTTTGCGTCCCATGGGCTGCAGCCCTGCCAGGCTCCTCTGTCCATGGAATTTTCCAGGCAAGAATACTGGAGTGGGGTGCCATTCTCTTCCTCAAAAGATCTTCCCGACGCAGGGATCGTACCCAGGTCTCCTGCACTGCAGGCAGATATTTAACTGTCTGGGCCGCCAAGGAATATTTATTCATTTGGCTGCACCGGGCCTTAGTTGCAGATGCTGGATCTTTTTTTTACCCCCTCCAAACTTTAAACTTTTTATTTTGTACTGGGGTGTAGCCGATTAACAATGTTGCGGTAGTTTCAGGTGAACAGCAGAGGGACCCAGCCATACGTATAGAAGTACCCATTCTCCCCCAAAGTCCCCTCCCAGCCAGGCCACCACATAACATTAAGCAGAGTTCCATGTCCTATACAGGGGGTCCTTACTGGTTATCCATTTTAAATATAGCACTGTGTACAGATTCATCCCAAACTCCCTAACTGTCCCTTCCCCCCAGCAACTGCAGGATCTTTAATTGCAGCATGCAGGATCTAGTTCCCTGGACAGGGATTGAACCCAGGCCCTTTGCCTTGGGAGCTTGGAGTCTTAGCCACTTAGCACCAGGGAAGTCCCCATCTTAGCAGTTTTAAGTGCAGAGCTCTAACCATTCTGAAGGACCACCATCCATCTCCCAAACAGAAACTCTGCACCTGCTGACCTGCGACTCCCATTCCCTCCTCCCCAGCCCCAGCGTCTGTGACATTTTATAGGTGGAAGAACAACAAAGGTGAAAACAAATACGGCCATGAACACTGCCCGCTCTCAGTGGCCCTTCTGCCCCATGTCAGGCATGCTGGGCACAGTAGGGGAGGAAGGGTCTTCTTTCCTCTTCCCTTTTCTCTCCAGAAAGCTCTGATTGCAACCTCCTTGCAGTATGCAGGATCTAGACAGCAGTAGTTTAGCAGCCCTGGAGGCAGTGTGGGTCACATCCAGCCCAGGATGTGGGGTCGGGGGAGGCCTGGGGGGGAGTTGAGAATGCTCTTACCTGCCTCCAACCCCAGTAGTCTCCCTGGAACCCATAAGACTTGCCGGGTCAGCTGAGCCATCTAGCTCCACCATATGAGCCAGGCGAGGCAGTCCCAGGGAAAGGCTGAGTCTACAGTCACTGGAGGTGCACAAGGCAAGGCGGCATCACCCCTTGGCCAGAGTGCCGAGAGCATGTTCTGGACCCTCCTAGGGTGGGGTGGCCTAAGACACCAGTCACAGTGCGGGAGCTCAGAAAGGTGACCAGTTGAGTGGGCTAATCCAAGTGGGCCCTGGCTGCCCCCTCTGCCTTTCACGCATTTCCCCCCAAGACTTAGAAGCTTGGCAGGAGCTTCTGGTCCTGGTCCAGTTCCAGTTGAAGTGTCACCTCCTCAAGGAAGCCTTTCCTGATCACCCAACCCAAAGTGCCCTGGCATCAGCACCCTGTTTGAAAGTACTCATGGTGCTCACCTGGCTTCCCTGGTAGCTCAGCTGGTAAAGGATTCACCCACAGGAGACCTGGGTTTGATCCCTGGGTCGGGAAGATCCCCTGGAGAAGGGAATGGCAACCCACTCCAGTATTCTTGCCTGGAGAATACTATGAACAGAGGAGCCTGGTGGGCTACAGTTCATGGGGTCACAGAGAATCGGACATGGCTGAGCGACCAAGCACACACAACACATGATGCTCACCTCCTGGATTTTTTAAAATTTGTTCAGGGTCTATGTTACACACACACAGACACACACAGACACACACACCTCCAACAGCAGCTCCCCGAGTGCACGGACCAAAGGGTTTGTGCTCACTCTTGCTTGTCAGCTCCTAGCACAGTACCTGGCACACACAGGACCTCAGCACACACTTGTGGGCTGATGGAACCCAGGGCTGAGTTCCAGGGTGTTCAAGGGATGGTTCCCCAGGCATAGAGCTTGGGAAGCACAGTGAGGAGTTGAGGGGTGGCCTGCACACGGGGCCTGATGACAGAGCCTCTCTGCAAGAAAGAGGATGGAGGGACCAGACAGGGGCAGGGCAGGGCAGGACAGGCAGAGATGCAGTGGGAGCGAGACCAGTGGTCCCAGGAGGCCCCAGGGGACGGGGCAGCCTAGTAGACAGGCATTTCAGGGCAGCCTCTGAACTCTGCAGAGAAGGGAGAGCAGGTGAGAGGCCAGAGAGGAAAAGGCAGGACCGGCCGCAGGTGGTGGGTGGGAGTAGCCACCCTCTGGCAGCACTTGGCAGCAACTAGGAAAACACAGGCAGGCTAGAGCTTCAGGGTCAGGTCAAGGCTTGGGGTTTTGTTTTGATTTGTTTTTTGGCTGGAGCTTGTGCAGGGGAGGGTGTGAGGAGCGTGATGAAGGCCGGAGAGGGTGAGGAGAGTGGTGTGGGGGAGAGCTGGGGGTCTGGGCTTGGAGGGGACCCGCAGGGGAGGCAGGTGAGCAGGGCTGGCGGGGCGGGAGGCATGCCTTCCCCAGGAGAGCTGGGCTGGGTGCTCCCCGCCTGTCCAGCCAGGTCCAGCCCTGCGCTTGTGGGTCCCAGCTCCAGGGCCGTCCTGCCACACCAGTCACCCACCTGCCCGCATGCCCACCGTGCATTCATGCAACCCCAGTGGCGCGCCTCTCGTGTGCAGGCTCTGCACCCGGAGACGACCTCAAAAGAGAGGCTGTGAGCGACCCAGGCCGCCAAGTGGCTTCCAGAGACGTCCTGAACCAGGTCTTGAAGGATGAGTCAGTGCTTGTGCAGAGGAGCAGAGACCATCAGCAGGCGGGCAGCGCAGCGCGTGCAGACCCACACCAGACGGAAGGGAAGACGGACCGGCTGGGGCCTGCCTCAGCCATCCCTCCCGTGCGCTTCCCCATGTGTCCTCCCTGCAAGCCCAGGGCTGCTGCGCGGCCTCCTCCCAGGTCTCCAGGCTGCAAGCGCTCCCCTTTCCAGTAGGGCCTGTCAGACGGTTCCTTAGGAGACGCGCCTCCAAAGGGTCACCTCGAGCCCACAGCCACCCATGTCCCGCCCACATGCTCCCTTTCCCCACTTCTCCTCGAAGCCCTGGCTGCCAGGACTGCCCAGGCCCTCCTCACAGGCCGGCCTGGCCGCCCTCTGCACATGGCTTTGTGCCCAGGGCACTTCTTCCTTTCCACCCATCACATCGCAACCAGAGTGGTGGCTCTAACGTGCACGGAGCACAGCTGAGCCCCAGAGCCCTGTACAGGACTCGCCTCTCGCAGCAGGCCCAGGTGGTCAGGTCTGGTTCTGTTGTCCCGGTTCTGTTGTTGTTCAGTCGCTCCGTCATGGCCCACTCTTCGCAACCCCATGGACTGAGACACACCAGGCTTCCCTGTCTTTCACTGTCTACTGGACTTTGCTCAAATTCATGCCCATTGAGTCAGTGATGCCATCCACATTTATAGATAGGGACACGGAGGCAGGTTCAACTAGGAAATTTCTCAGGGTCACGAGGTAGGAGAACCGTGAAGCTAAGATGCAAAACCCAGGTGCCCTGACTCCAGAGTCTGCGCCCTGGACCCCTGTAATGTGCCATCTCTGCTTCTCCAGCCCCTTCCTCCTTGGCCCCCATTGTGGGGACAGCCTAAACCATACCTGCTGCTTCATGCTGATGTGCCCAGCTGGTGCCCTGAACTCTGGTCCGGGATGGCAGACAGGAGGACAAGGGCCAGCCCTCCTGCTTCCTTTAGCCATATATACATGCTTGATTTTTGCTGCTGTTGTTTAGTCACTAAGTCATGTCTGACTCTCTTGCGACCTCCATGGACTGTAGCCCTCCAGGCTGCTCTGTCCATGGGATTTCCTAGGCAAGAGTACTGGAGTGGGTTGCCATTTCCTCCTCTGAGGGATCTTCCCAACCCAGGGATCGAATCTCTGTCTTACTTGCTTGATAAACCTTAGCAGTTGATTCACCATGAAGGGCAGTTCAAGAGGTGAGAACCGGCTCACCAGAGGAGAGGATCCAGGGTGAGTGCCCAGGCAGGGGCTTTTGGGGCATTGCTGGGCAGGAGGAGCCCCCAGTGCCTAGATGGGTTGCGTTTCTGTCTGAGGCTGCAGCCTAAGGCCCCAGGAGCAGAAGCAGGTGCTGGAGAACTGAATCTGAGGGACAGGACTTCTGTAGGTGGTCAGAATGCAACAACCCCAAGGCTTGCATCTTCCAGGAGAGTCTTAGGATCAAACTGCTTCTTGTTGTTCCTGCAAATCCTGAGAATATCCCAGAAACAGCAGGGTTTGGACCCCAGGCACCAATGTGCTCCAGACACAGCTCAGGGAGTGGAAGATACAACCCTGAACAGAGCTCAGTCCCTCCCTCCTTGAACTCAGCGGGAGACAGGCACAGGCACCAAGGGAGAAGTAAATCTTTGGCATCCCAGATGGTGCTGAGTGCTGTGGAGAAAGAAAGCCAGATAAAGAGGAGAAGGAAGTGTTGGGAGAAGACGCTACTTTATAGTAGTGAACAGAAAAGGGGACATCTGAGCCCAGACCTGAAGAAATCACGCAGGTTTCTTGGGGGAAGAACATTCCAGGCAGAGGGAACAGCATGTGTAAAGGCCCTGGGCCAGACAAAGACCTCTTAGGTTAGAGAAAAGAAAGGCCAGTGTGGCTGGAGCAGAGGGCTGAGGGTGGAGTAAGAGGAGTTGAGGTCAGAGGGGTGAGTGGGGACTCAGG